GCTCAGCCGCTTCCCATCTCGCCCCTGCGCGCCCGTAGACAGCATAAGCAATGAGACTCCGTCGGCTAGCATGTCGGAAAATTGAAAAAGTAAGCGAACGTCCAGATTCAACGTGCCATCTTCAGCGAGGATAATCCGGATCCAGCTGCCGAACAGCCCATGCTGCCGAACGTCTGACGATGGCTAGGACTCCCGTGCGGTCTCTCTGCGCCACGGGGTGCCCCCACAAAAGGTAGCTGTTGGTAGCCTCATTCGACAAAAGCTCGGGTCTCCACGGGCACTGTGACGTCGTAGTCCAAGTTTTGGATCATGCCCCATTTGCCCGGCTCCTGCACTCCATTGATGCTGTGGCAATGCAGGCTCACCTCCTCCCCCGTCTCTCCGCCGCCGTGCATGGCTCTCACATGGCGGTTCCAAGCTTTGTTGGGGTAATCCGCCAGATCGCATACCAACCACATGCACAAATAGACAAACAATGCTGCTGCCTGCCACCGTCTGCACGACTGCTGGCTTCAGATGTTGTCCTCGCCCCCAATATTCTGCCTTTGCTGGTGGGGCGTCCGGCCGGCACTGTGCGTGCTGTCCCACTTGTCGCCTGTAGCGACGCGCGGTGTGGCGGGCTGTGGCGTTGCCTGGGCTGCTGGGGCCGCTTCGCTGGGGCCGAGCGCTGGCGGTGCCTTGCCGCGCGTCGCCTGTCCAAGAGGGAGCGGCGGGACGACCCCGCGCACGAAGCTGAAGGATGCGCTGGGGCCGCCAGCAGCCTGCCGGCCAGCGCGCTGTGTCTGCGCGTCGTCCTTGGCCAGAGCGCGTGCCGCCGCAATCACAGCTTTGAAAACAATCGGCACCCGCTGCCCCTGGCCCAGAAAATGCGAAGGTGCAGTGCGCTCCTCGTTGGTCGAGTGGAAGACGGCCTGCTTGGCGTCGAAGAAAATCATATCCGTCGCTTCCCAGCCCTGCGCAGCCAACATCTCGTAGAGGCAGTGGGCGTTGGCAGCCGAAAGCGCGCCTGTGACATTCCACCGGGGAACCTCTGGCGTGCCCTTCAGACCCAACTTGTGCAACATGGCCGCTGCGTCCGCTACCGTGCGGCACCGGGGTGCCAAACGACCATTCCCTTTTCCCGGCGAGTCCGTGCACCCGGGCATCGTTGGTCATCAGCAGCGCCTCCGCCAGCTCCGTGAGCTCGGGGAGCCATACCAAAACCATGGCCTCGTGCTCCTCCTGGTCTTTGTGGACCTTCAGGAAATCCCGGCCTTGCCGCTGAGACAAGGCACCTTGGCCACCAGAGTCGAGTGCAACAGGAAAATCGCGGCGCCGTCCTCTCTCTGGTCACGAAGCTATCCAAGGCTCCTTCCGAGACATCGTTGCCACCCATGTCTCGTTGAGACTTTGGCGACCATTTTTACCATGTGGAAGCCGATGTCCACAACATCGTCAATCGCCCTCTTCTTCACCTGCTCGCCGAAGCCCAGCTGGACAAGCCAACGTGTCACCCGAGCCGTCGTCCGCTCCCCGCCATCATCTGCGACGCTCAACTGGCAGTCCACACGGGCCCGGGGGTACCCGCGGAGCCCCAAGTCGTCGAGATCCTGGGTCACGATGGCCGCCGTGGCCTTCGCGGTGTAGCCGACGCGCTCCAGCACCGTGGGCAGGGCGTCTGTCGGCACGACTGCCACGCCTCCCGCGCTGTCCAAGGTCTGATACGGCTTGACCTCGGCTTCCCATTCGCCCTGGAGCAGCGTGGACTGAGCCCGCATCTTGGCGGCCTCCGGCATGGCGTCGCGGATGGCCGCCTGGTAGTCGGCAGGGTCGCTGAGGTCCCGGGCGGGCGCCTCCTGCTGTTTGCCCTTGCCCTTGCCCTTGCCCTTGCCCTTGCCCTTGCCGAGGCCCCTGCCCTTCCCCTGGGCTCCATTCCCATGGAGAGCATGCATCAACTTGTTCCAGGCGTGGTGCGACATCTGCCACAAGCACGTGACCGAGGTGATGGAGGATAGAATCACGCTGAAGATGATGATGTGGTACGTACATGATGCTGCTGCTGATGAGCTTCTCCGCGACGATGCTGATGCTGCAGGCTGGTGCGATGACGCTGAATACGTAGCACCCCGCAATTGCGGATAAGAGTGAGGGGGCGGGCGCGGGCGACGCGGGCGTCGTCGAGCCGGCGGACCTCGTGGCCCCTACCTTCCTTGTCGATGGCGCTCTCCTCCACCTCCTCCTCCTCCTCCTTCTCCTCCTCTTCCTCCTCCTTCTCCTCCTCCTCTTCCTCGTCCTCATCGTCATCGTCATCCTCCTCCTCCACCTCGTCCTCCTCCTCCTCCTCCTCCTCCTCTTCTTCCTCGTCCTCCCTCTCCCCCCCTCGTCTTTTCATCATGGTCCTCCCATGGTCGTCCTCCCCCTCATCGGCCTCCATCATCGTCCTCCCATTGTCGTCCATCATCATCATCCTCCCCATCCTCCCCCTCCTCGTCCTCCTCATCGTCCTCCTGCTCCTCCTCCTTTTCTTTATTCTCCTTACATCGTTCTCCTCGTCCCCTGTTTACTCATCCTGCCTCCCCCTCCTTTCCCAAGATAACTGCAACGCAATCCTTTTTTCCACTTTATGCTCCCCGCCTTCTCTGATCAAGGCAACTCGCCAGGGCAAAGTTGCTGGACGGGCTGGCGTGGATGTGCGGGGCGTGAAGAGGTCCTTGCGGGCTCAGACGGCATGCAAGAATCCGCCGCCGCGCTTGTGCGGCATTGGTTTGTTCAGTGAACGTGGTTTAGGTCGCGGGTGGGTCGCGGGCTCTCCACCTCCACCTGGAAGGAATGCAAAAGCAGCCCGCCGCAAGCGCCAAAAAAATTGGTTCGTACACGGAACGAGGTTTGGGTCGCGGGTGGGCCGCGGGTTCTCCACAGGGAACGAATGCAAAGGATGCCCGCCGCAGGCGCCGAAAATGTGGTTTGTACCCTGAACGTGGTCGCGGGTGGGCCGCGGGCTCTCCACCTGAAACGAATGCAAAATATGCCCGCCGCAGGCGCCGAAAAATGTGGTTTGTACCCTGAACGTGGTTTGGGTCGCGGGTTGGTCGCGAGTTGGTCACGGGATGTGTCGCGGGCTCTCCACTTGGAAGGAATGCAAAAAAGCCCGCCGCAGGCGCCGAAAATTGTGGTTTGTACCTTGAACGTGGTTTGGGTCGAAGGTGGGTCGCGGGTGGGTCGCGGGGTAGGTCGCGGGTGGGTCGCGGGTGGGTCGCGGGTGGGTCGCGGGTGGGTCGCGGGTGGGTCGCGGGGTGGGCCGCGGGGGGGTCGCGGGGTGGGTCGCGGGTGGGTCGCGGGGTGGGTCGCGGGGTGGGTCGCGGGGTGGGTCGCGGGGTGGGTCGCGGGTGGGTCGCGGGTGGGTCGCGGGTGGGTCGCGGGGTGGGTCGCGGGGTGGGTCGCGGGTGGGTCGCGGGGCGGGTTGCGGGTGGGACGACGACAACAAACAACAACAACAACAAACAACAACAACAACAACAACAACAACAAGAATCCGCACCGCGGAATCCCACATCAGCCACGCACCCAGGGACAGTGAATGACCGTTCGGCCCCCTCACTCTGATGTTGTTGCTGATGACGTTCCCCATGACAGGGTTGATGATGCTGCTGACGCTGATGCTGTCACTGATGTTGCTGTTGCTGCTGATGACCTTCCCCATGAGAATGTTGATGATGCTGCTGACGCTGAGGCTGACACTGATGTTGCTGCTGCCTTGTCCTCGTCCCTCCTGCTGAGAAGCCAGCTGAACTGTATGAACAACATGTTGTAAAACACTGGCAAACTTATCCATGCTACCATCCGCTGTGAACAACAACAACAACCTTGGTGAGGGTGAAGCCCGCCGCGATACCCGGATCGAAGGTGACCCCAGCCTGGTCGTTGCAGTCGATTAGCACAAACGAACAGCAGCAGCAGGGGAGGGGGGAGGAGGAGGAGGGGAGGAGGAAGAGGAGGCAGCCACGGGCTGCGGCACACGTACCATCCGCTGTGAATCCAGCGCGGTCCCAGAGGCAAGCATTTGCTGTGATATCTTGTGTCACATAGACATTCACAGTGGCCGTTGAACGGCCAGGGAGGTGCCGCCACGCCTCCACAGATGCAATCGCCCACGGCATACCTCCCTGCGTCTGCTTCTGCGGCGCCGTGGAGCCACGTGGATCGTTGAACCTGGAACGATCGGTGGCGTTTCGATCGCCAGATCGCTTCACGTTGGCCGATTCTGGGCCACTGGCGGCGTGCGGCGGGGTCGCCGCCGCGTCGACACGACACGGACCTGCCGTATCCAGCTCCCGCCCAGGCCAGCCACGTCACGTGCAGCACTGGAACTCCGCCCCACTTGGGATCGGGGGTCCCTGACACCCCCCGAACCACTCCGGGGGGCGGTTCTGGGCAGGAATTCGAAGCGGATCCAGCAATGGTGGCGACGAGGCGCCCCATCCCAGGAGGCTGGAAACACACATGGCTAGAATCACAGCCAGAGGCCACGCGCATGCGCAGGCCCTGCCACAGCGGCAATCGAAGAGCCAAACGCTGAGAAGAACTCTGGACGCACGTGCATCCAGCTCCAGCCCAGGCTGGCCGCATCATGCGTTTCCAGCTTCCTGGCACGTCCCAAAAGCGTCCAACAGCTCGACCCTGCAATCTCGATGGGAGCGAGCACCACAGCGGCAGCGCCGCTGTCGTGGTCGTCATCGCCGTCGCCGTCGCCGCCGCGGTAGTCGCCGTCATAGGCCTCCCAAGTGGGGTCCGAGTAAATAAGGTCGAAGAATCGCGCCGCATTGTACTGACAACGTCAACGATGCATCGGCGACGTCGGCGCGGAGAGAATCGGGCTCCCCATCGAGCCGCATCGCCGAGTCATCGGTGATGCGGCGCGATCCCCCGACCCCGTCTACTCAGACCCCATCTGGGAGGCCGCCGCCGACGCCGCCTCCGCCACCGTCGCCGCCGTGGCCGCCGCCTCCGTCCGCCGCGGGCGCCTGCGCAGGCGCCGGCGCTCCGTCCTTGCCCTCGGCCTTCTCCTGCTGGCGCCGGCGGACGCCGAGGTTGTGCGTCCGGGCGATGTTGACCTCGATCGGCAGCGCAGCGGGGACGACAGCGAGGTGCGGCTGAAGAGCACTGGGGCGACGAAAAGAACCGGGCCTTACGCGAAATGACGCATCGACCTTAGCACGCGGTGGCTTACGCGAGCCGCCAGCGCGACACGCCACACTGGAAACGAGGCATTACGCGGGCCGCCAGCGCGGCACGCTGCAATGGAAACGAGGGCGCCTACGCGCGACCTTACGCGGGAAGCTCAATTACGCGCGAATGTTGGCGCAGTCGACCCCGTTTCCTTCCATCGCTCTGTTGTCGGCTACACGTAAGAGTGACCCCAATCAATCAAGAGTGACCTTTGGTGCGCGGCTCTAGGGAGCCGCGTGGGGGTCAAATCCAAGCGCGCAAGCTGGTGCTGGGATGGCCCCTGTGGGCCCGCACCAAAGGTCACTCCGGCGATCGGGCTCGACCTGGAGCCGGACTTGCTCCGAGGGCTGTCCCGTGGGTGTCCCGTGCGCAGCCCCGTGGGAGCGCGGCGGGGTTGGCCGCAGCTGCGCCACGAAAATACATACACTGACACCCTCTGACGAATGTTGGATGTATTTTTAGGGAGGTAGGAGGGGTATAAAGTCGCTGGCTCTCACCCTCCATTGAGGCCCAGGAACAATCCAATATTGAATATTGTGGCAAAGCAGCTGCAGAGGGTGACCTCGCTGTGACGGGGTCCCCGCGGGCGCTTGCGGCGGTGGCGTTGCGCCTGGGACAGGCCGGAGCAGGCCCGACCTGGCTCGGTAAACTTCGAGCTCACGGCTGGGCGCTGCCTGGCCGAGCGGCCGCGACGGGCGCACGGCGATATCACGGCCGCCCCCCGCGCAACCGAGCCTGCGCCGCCGGCTCGCGTACGCGTGCGGCACGATCGCCCACGAATCGCCCCGCCCGGCCCGCCTCGCCCGCGGACGTCGCTCCGCCCAGGACGCTTCGCCGGCGCACCGCGCCGCCAGCGGACCGCGCCGCCGGCGCGCTGCCTCGCCGGCGGGCCGCTCGCGCGGACCCGCCCAGGGCCGGCCCCCTTTGTCGCGGCGCGGACAGATCACGACGGGAAGCCTGTCGCCATGTTCGGCCTCCAGGGGCCTGCTGCTGGGCCCCAGGTCCGTCAAGAGACGTCTCTGGGGGGGGAAAAGAAGAGGAGGAGAAAAAAACTTAAGAAAAAGAGGAGAAAAAAACTTGAAAAACTTAAGAAAAAGAGGAGGAGGAGGGAAAAGAAGAAGAGGAGAAAAAAAACTCAAGAAAAAAAAACGGCCCTGGGGACTGGGTCGAGACCTCCGCAGGTCCACGCCATGCGAGCATGGCGCCGGAGGTCCCAGACCCCCACGACGTCATGACTTGCTCCTGACGTCGACCCCCACAAGATCTGGACCCCTCACCGGGGACCGGCGCTTCATTCTGAGCCGTTTCTGGATGGCCCTGGGGCTCGGTGAAGGGCCAACAGAGGCCGAACATATGAAAAGCCTCCCTCCCGTCGCGATCGTTTCATGGCCCGAGGGGGTCAGGGGGCTGGATAGGCATCCGCCCGCCCGACCGTCAGGGCGGCCCGGGGGCGAAGCGGCTTGCCAGCGAGGCCGTCGGGTGCCAGAGGGCGCGGAGCGGCGTGGCCACTGCAGGATCTCCTCTCCTAGATGGGGTCGGGGTAGACGGGGCTGGAGAGTCGCGCCGCATCGCCGATGCATCGGGCACCGGCGATGCATTGACGACGTCGGCGATGCATTGGCGACGTCGACGTGAGCAAATCGGGCTCCACGTCGAGCCGCACCGCCGATGCATCGGAGACGCGGCGAGATCCTCCGACCCCATCTGCTCGGACCCCATCTGGGAGGCCTCGAGCGGGGTCCACCAAGGGGAGGGTGACCCTGACGGGGGGCATGAGTTCGATCCGCTGGTGCACCGAACTGCTGCAAACAAATGCCCCCCACACGCCCCAGCTGTCCGCAACTATCGAGAGCCGCCTGCGGCTGGTGGGCACTTCTTAACTCACACACACACACACCCGAGCACACACACACAACCTTCGCGGGATCCCGACTCTAGACCTCCAACGCCCTGAGAAACTCGAGGCGGAAGCTTCTCGCAGTCTTCGGCCTCGGGGGGCCATCGCAGGGCCCCGGGGCCGTCAAGGAGCGGCCCAGGACGAAGAGCCTGCCCTGGGGAAGAGGTCCAAGCCTCGGGGCACCCCGCGCTTGGAAAGCCAAGGCGTGGGATGTCTGGGTCCTCCTCCTCCTCCTCCTCCTCCTCCTCCTCCGTACTGGTGGTGGTGTTCCCCATGAGACTGGCGCTCCGCTTGCGTCAAAGCGCGGTCAGTCTGAACCCCTGGCGGTGGCAGAAAGGAAAGAAGGGAGGAACACAATGGAAAGTGATAGCAAGAAGTGGCAAAGAGCATTCGGAACGGTACCGTAACGACAAACCAACTCCCCTTGCTCTTTCTCCTCGTGCTTTTGCCCACCTCCCTCTCCCTCTCCCTCCCCATCTCCTCCTCATCCCTCGGCCTCTCCTCCTCCACTACCAGTTAGTCCTCCTCCCTTTCCTGTTCTCCTTCTCCTCCTCTTTCTCCTTCTCCTCTTCTTCCTCCTCCTCCTCCTCCTCCTCCTCCTCCTCCTCACACCCCTCACTCCCCCCCCTACATCCAGCCCTTCTCATCGTCGCACCGCCAGACTTGTCGGTATGGCTGGTCAGGCGATTCACCTGAGACTTGCTCAGCGCTTGTGGTCCTGATGATTGAAAGTTCCAACGGCTAAAGAGATGGACGGCAGGTGGTGTTCAAAATGTGGATCTAGCCTGAGCGCCGCAAGTATACGTCTGAAAAGCTTCAAGCGCGAACGTCGTTCACCTGGTGCCGCGCACATATGTTGAAGAATCGAGTGGGTTTCAAAATGTTACTCTCGTCCTGGCGCCGCGTGCACTCGTTGGAAAAATTCCCAACGCTACACAGATCAACGGGAGGGCGGCTCCGCTTCAGCATGGGGCTCGCGCTGGACATGCATTCACAGTAGTACCAATATTCAGACTTGAGCAACAGCCACACGGATGGACAAACCTCAACTCAAAATAGAGATCTCGCTTGAGACTTCGCGGAACACAAACCCATAAATGCAACACCGTGCAACAGCAGCGCGGATGGAAGCGGCTACTGTCGAAACAGTGCTTTCGCTGGCAGGTTTACTCTGGTCCCTCCTCACCCCTCCTGCTCCCCCTCCTCCTCCTCCTCCGCCTCCTCCTCCTCCTCCTCCTCCTCCTCCTCCTCCTCCTCCTCCTCCTCCTCCTCCTCCCCCTGCTCCTCCTCCCCCTCCTCCTGCTCCTCCTCCTCCTCCTCCTCCTCCTCCTCCTCCTCCTCCTCATCTGGCCCCCCCTTCCAGCGTGAGGCAGAAAGGGGTGCGGAGGGAAGGGCGGCGCTTGCCTCCGTCGTGGTGATCTGCTCGCGGAGGAACGCGACGTCCTGGGGCCACGAACCGGCGAATCCGGCAATAGACTCGACCAGGATAGTACGGATGCGCGGTAAGGATACAAGGGCCTTGGAACGCCATGTTGACGTTTTCAGTGCGGAGCGCAGCAGAATGCCGAAGGATGCCGAATACCAAAGGGCAAGGATGCAAGGGTAGCCTTGGAAAGCTGCCCCATCCTTACTATCATAGTTGACGGTAATACGTTTCATAAACGATTCTGGCAACAGGCCGCAGAGGAAACGAAACAGAATGATAACAACAACGTGGCGGTGGCCGCGGCGGCCAGGCCGCGCTGCGCCCACGCAGTGTACCGCGCCGCTCTGAAGTGCCGGCCAGCGCCGCCCAGCGCACCGCTCGGTAGTTATCCTCTTGGTCATAGCCATCATCACCATCATCACCATAATCATCACCACCATCACCATCACCATCACCATCACCATCACCATCACCATCATCATCATCATCATAAGCAGCATCATCATCATCATCATCATCATCATCATCAGCAGCAGCAGCAGCATCATCATCATCATCATCATCATCATCATCATCACCATCACCATCATCATCATCATCATCGTCATCATCAGCATCATCATCATCATCACCATCATCGCCATCATCATCAGCAGCAACATCATCATCAACCTCTTCCTTTTCATCGTCACAATCGTTGTCGTCGTAGTACTGGTCGGCCTCGACCTCGTCATCGCCACCGTCATCTTCACGCCCATTCCCATCCCTCTCTCCCTCTCTCAATCACCTCCCCATGCCCATCTTCACACCCACCGCCGTGCTGGACTTGCTACTGCTACGGCTGCTGCGACTCTTTCTCATCATTCCGATCCTCCTCCTTATCCTCCTCGTTCTCATCCCCTCCCCCCTCTGCCGAGACTGCTGCTGCCACTTGTGCTGCTGCCGCTTCCTCCATTCCTCTCGCTGCTCTCCCAAACTGTCCTCATTCTGCCCCTCCCGCTGCCTCCCCTACGCGTCTTTGCTGCAGCTCGCGCTCTCTTCTCCGTATTTCTCAAGCAGCGTTTCCACTTAGGAGCCCTCACTTTTCCGACCCGAGGAGTTCGACGGGTCCACCGACAAGTTTCCGCGTTGGCGCCCGTGCCGCCTCGTAAGCGCTCGTGGGCGCCCCTGAGCCTTTGGTGCGTTGGCACCCGTGGGCGCCTTGTGGGCGCTCGTGGGCGCCCCGTGCCACGGGTGGGTCCGCCGAGATTTCGCCGCGTTGGCGCCCGTGCCCTCCCCTTGGGCGCCTCGTGGGTGCTCGTGGGAGCCCACCTCCACTGCCATACTCACGGTGCGGGGCCTACGTTGGACGCTGGGTAACAACCATATAAATATACAACTGGCGCCTCGCGCATATACATACACTATATGGATTAAACATATATTTCCACACATGCATATGCATGTACGTATACATATACGAATACATATACATATACATATACATATATATACATTCCTATACCTATGCACAAGTATGTGTACGGATCGCACGTAGGCCTATACATGCGTGCGCACGTATACATTTTAATACGCACCTCTTCGAACGAATGGAACTCACAGGCGATTAATTGAAACCGTCCCGTCCTGTCGGCGATGTGTGGTGTCCGCTTCGCTCGGGGACATCGTCAACCGTCTGAAAACGGGACGCACCCCGCACGCAGATCGCGACGCCACGGTCCAAAATCACAGTGTTGTTTAACATCGTTGTATTACAAAAAACCTTCAACACACAACGGAAATCAATGATTTGGAACACAGTTTCTCGCAAAGTGCAGTTTCGCCTGGCACATCATCCCACAATCGAACCCCGACGTACAACACGCACACACACACACTAAATACGCACATGACACGCGCACACCGCACACAACGCACCACACACAGAACACAGACAGAACACACACAATACGTACAACACGCTGAACATTCAGAGAGCACACGCACTCTTGCACGCCCAACACGCAAACACAAACACACACACACACAAACACATACAAGAACACGCGCACACACGCCACACAAAACACACCCAACGCACGCAACAGACACACGCACACATACTTGGCACACGTTTTTTGCGTCGGCGGCTGGGCAGAGGGCGACTGCTCCGGCGGTTAGGCTACATGGGGACACGCCGCATGCAAATTAGTGCCGCCATGCACGAGAGAAGAGGAGGAGCCTCGGCGCGACGGAGAGAGAAGAAGCCGGGCCACTCAGGCAAGTCACCGGCTGCGGCGGGGGAAGCGCCGAGCGCCGAGGGGGGGGGCCAGCGCCGGCGCTGAGCTGCAGCTGGGGGGGGGGAACGCAGACCAGCCAAAGTAGGCGGTCAATGGGGGAACACCACGTGCGAATCAGAGACCCGCCCCGGCGAACCGATCGGGCGCGGCCCCAGGGGTGAGCCGCGGCGCCGAGACCTGCGGGCCTACGAGGCGCGACGGGAGGCTGACGGCAGAGGCGGGCAAGCAAGAGAGCGCTGAGCAGGCGGCGCCGCGGCCCAGCGAGCGACGGAGAATGGCGCCCCAGCATCGGAACCACCCTGGGGGAGCAGCACGGAGCCGAGGTCGCTGGAAGAGCCGGGCGGGTAGAGACAGGCGCGGGCCGAGGCGCCGAGACCAGGAGGGCCTGCGCGGCGCACAGCGAGGGTGCAGCACCAGGACGAACCAGCGATGCGCAAGATGCAGCAAACGCTAGCCGGCGGGCGGGATGCAGCAGGGGCCGCGCCAAAAGGGGAAGCGGCGGGCCTGGCGACGGCGGGCGGGCGGGGCGAGCGCCGAGACCAAAGAGCCAAGGAGGCGTTGGCCCGCGGGCGGCAAGGTGCCGCGGGGGGAGCGGCAGTGCCCAGAACACCAGGTGGCCCGTGACTGGAGGGGGCGCCTGACACCCAAGCAGAGGGGCGCGACGCTGGCGGGGCCGCGGGCGTCGCCCGGCCGGCGCATGGCACGGCAAAGACCCCGGGGGTGCCACAGGCAGGGCCCGTGCAAAACCTGCAGAAGACCGACGAGCCCCGGGCCGAAGCGGGGGGCTGCAGCGGCGGAGCAGGGCACCCCGCAGGCGGAGCGGGGGGGGGGGCCCGAAGGCCACGGGCAGGCGGCAAGGCTGGCCATAGGGGCGCAGGTCGCACCCCAGGGCAGGGCGACCCAGGGCGGCAGGGCGGTCGAGAACCACCCCGAGCACGAGCGGGAGGCCCCAGCTGAGCGCGCGAAGGAATGGTGGGCGAGGCCGCGCGCAACGCAGCGCCCCGGAGCAGGATTCGCTCAGGGAGAGCGGCGGCGGGAGGAAGCAGGCCCCGAGCGGAAGCTGGAGGCCTGCGGGGGGGGCACCGGATAGGCGAATGGAGATTGCAGCGAGCGCTGCGAAGGCAGGGGAGGGCGGATGACGGGACCAAAGCGGCCACTGCCAGGAGCCTGTGGACTCAGCACTCAGAAGAGGACGCGGTGGCGAGGCAGCTGCGAAAGAGCCACCAGAGGTGACTGCTAGAGGCTGACCAGCGCTGACGAGTAGGGTCGTTGCTGGGCCAGGAGGAGTCAGCAGGCCGCTTGCCTTTCCCTTGCGGCGGGGGCCCCTTCCCTTTGCCTTTGGTAACTTCGGCGCCCTGCCTCCTCTTGTCAAGTTCCCGGTGCCGCTCGGCGCCCCAATCGACTCGGATGCCCCTGTGTCTGCGCAACCCACGCACATCGTAGGTGGCTTCGCTGAGGTAGCGAACCAAGCCCTGGCAGAAATCGGCGTCGTGCCGATCGGGGTCCTCGGCGGAAGCGGCCCGCGTTCGCGGTCGCAGATGGCGTCCCAGCCGATCGTCAACATGGGGCCGTATTGCTTGTTGAAGCGGTTGACCACCTCCTTCTAGCCCCCCCTTGCATCAACATGTGAATTCCAGGTTGGGCGCCACGTCGCCCTGCGCCGCGGTTTATAGTGAAGCTGATCCGCGTCGTCAGACTGAGCCAGGGGCATGGGGGCGGGGGGCGGTTGGCGTGGCGTCGGCTCCTGCCGCCAGGGCAGGAGTCGCTCAGCGGTCTCCCATCCGCGCAACCTTTGGGGGGCGGCTGGGCTGGTCGACGATGAAGCCCCACTGCCCAATGGAGTTCGCGCGGGTGGTGCAAAGGATCGCCAGATCGGCCTCGTCACCTCGGCTACCGTCGATGGTGGACACGCCGACGAGGCCCTGGTCGACCAAGCGGGGGCACCTCACTCTGATGCCGATGAAGTAAAGCTGGAGGCCGTTGGGTTCGGAGGCAGGAGCGCTCCTGAATACAATGCCCGACGGGGGGGAAACTGAAATGTGGCGCGCCTTGGGCAAAGCGCCCCTGGGGCGTGGAGGCCCTGGACTGCGCTGGTGTGCCCCGACCGGCGGTCTTGGTCGATCGGCCATCCGGCTTTGACCATGGCCGCCCTGAGATCCAAACTCTTGAGAATCTCCGGAGTATACAACATATATATCTAGAGCTCTCGATTTTCACGGCTAGATAATTATCACGCGCGCAGCATGAGTATGTTTTGCACTGACATGCGCCAAGGCTTGAGCTAGATGCATATATAATCCAAAAAAATAATATATATATATATATATATACATATATATATATATATATATATATGTACCTACATATATCCTTACACTTATGTTCTTGGTTGCTTGCGCTCTTTTCTTCTCCTCCCCTCTCCTCCTCCCCCTTCCCTTCCTTTTCCTTCTCCTCCTTTTCCGTTCTCTCTCCTCTCCTTTCCTCTCCTCTCCTCTCCTCTCCTCTCCTCTCCTCGCCTCTCCTCTCCTCGCCTCGCCTCTCCTCTCCTCTCCTCCTCCTTGGTTTCCTTGGCGGCCTTCTGCCTTCTGCTGCTCTCTGCGGCTCTGGCGGCTGCGCGCGCGGGGCCCGCGTTCGCGGCCGCGGCGCCGCGGCCGAATGGCTCGGGCAGCGCCCGCCCACCGCCACAGCCAGCGCCAAGGGGACGGGCCAGGGAGAGGGAGGAGGAGGACGAGCAGGAAAATGAGGAGGGGAAGGGCGACGACGACGACGAGGACGAAGAGAAAAGGAGGTGGAGGAGGAACTTGGGGAGAAGATGGGAAAGAAGGAACATGAGAATGAGGAGGTGTCGGAAGATCTGGAGAACGGAAAAAATAATATAGAGGGAACGTTGCCCTCGTTTGTAGTCGTGTTGGTTCCTTGCCCTCCTCCTCCTCCTCCCCCTCCTCCTGTTCCTTGTCGTCCTCCTTCTCCTCGTCTCCTCCGCCTCTCCCGCCAATCTCTTTTCGTATACTTATCTCTTGCTCCCCTTCTGATCCTACGCCTCTCCTCTGAATTCGTCGGCCTCCTCCTCCTCCGCTTCCCCTCCTCCCCCTTGTCTTCGTCCTCCTCGATCGCGTTTTCCCTTGTCCTCTTCCTGATCCTCCTCGTCATCGCCCTCCTCCTCCTACTCCTGCCCCTCCTCCTCCTCCTCCTCCTCTTCCTCCTGCCCCTCTTCCTCTTCGTGTTTCTCCTCGCCCTAGTCTTCCTCCTCCTCCTCCTCCTCCTCCTCCTCCTCCTCCTCCTCCTCCTCTTCCTCCTCCTCATCCTGAGGCGCGCCATCGTCACCCCTCTCCGTTAAGTCCACCCGTTGGCGCGGCCAGGCGGTGAGTCGATGACACAGCTAATTACTTGCGGCCTCGATTGTCGAGGCAAGGGCGGATCCGAGCGGAAGACGAGTCTAGAGGATAACGTGTTGGCGTCGGCAATCAAACTGTGTAAAAACGTTGCTTGTGGGCGACGGCGACGGCGGCGAAGTCGACGATGGCGGAGAGACAGCGAGGGAGCACGACGCGTGCACTAGCAGGGCCAGCCCTGCAGCCTATATGCATCTCAGACGAAGCTGTCGCGACAGCCTTCGCGGTGGAGGGGTGAGAATTCACGCGCACTTTCACACGCGTGTGAAATTGCGTGTGCAATCGGTGCATCCCCTCCTCCTCAGCCTTCCTCCGCAGGAATTCGTCCTTTTCTCCCTTCCTACTCCCTCCTTTCTTTCCCCTCCCTCGCCCTCTCTCTCCCTTGCCCCCTCCCTGCCTCCATCCCTCCGTCCTTCGGTCACTCTTTACTCTCCTTCCTTCCCTCCCGTCCTCCTTCCTTCCCCTCGCCCGCCTATTCGCCCCTCCTCCTCGTCCTTATTCTGGTTATAACATATAACACTGTGATGCGATGGGGGCGCGCCTAGATGGCAAACGGCGCACCATCTCCAAGGAATAATATGTGGATCTTGCACCACATTGCAATACCTGGGAAGTCAGAGCGGGAGCAATCAAACAGGATGAGTGGGGTCGACTTTCAACTCTGGGCCTGGAATTGCACGATCGTCCTGGCGGGGGCCTCCGCAGATATGAACGTGTTGATGTGCCCCCGCCAGGCTTGCGCCATGCCCGCCAGGGCCGTGGCCCTGGTGGGGCCGCCATCATCATCATCATCAGCATCATCATCATCAGCAGCAGCATCGACATCATCATCGTCATCGGCATCATCATCATCATAACCATCATCATCATCATCATCATCACCGTCATCATCATCATCATCATCATCATCATCATCGTCATCATCATCATCATCATCATCATCATCACCCGCGTGATTTATTGAAATACCATTTTAAAATGCACCCGATTGGGCCTCCACATTCAGGCCTGAGGAACCCGATATTGACGAAAGTGGCAGCATTCTATTGGCCCGCTCGGGTGAATTCCCCAATCAGTTCTTGCACCGAAAGGGTCCCAGCGGAAATTGAAGGAGTTGGTGAAAGTTCCCCGCCGATTTTGGAAGGTCGAGCTCGCGACCCATGAGCAGAAGTGCGATGATGAGACTCCCCGATTGGCTGCGTCCCCAGGCAGTGCTTGCAACGACTGAAGGATCTCGAGGCCCACCTCCAGGGGCCCACGTTCATCTTCGCACCGTTCGCATACGTTGGGATCAACAGGGCTGCTTGAAACAACTGCAGGCGACGACAACTGCTGACGAACGACGGCTAGGACGACGAGGAGGACGACTACGCCGTGCCATCTGAACGTTCCGACACCCGTCGGTGTTTTGAGGCCCAATGAGATGTGCTCTAATCGCACCGAAATCCAAAACACGCCCGCAGTGCAATGCACAACAAAAAAAACTTGAAAAAAAACAGGCAACAGGCCGTTTGTTTTTCGATGGTCCAGCTCTCAATCGATCTCCTCCACCTCTGATTCGGCCTCGGTCACCTCGTCCTCCTCCTGGTGACCATCCTTGCCGGCCTCCTCCTCCTCCTTCTCGCCCTCGCTCCTCGCCCTCCCCTTCCGCCCCCTCCTCATCCTCCTCGTCTTATGCCTTGCCATCTTTGCTGGGGCGTGGCAGGTGAGAGACATGATTGAGGTCTGGGCCGTCGGGAGCGGAGCGATCAGCATTGACGACGACAGCGACGCCGACGACGAACGCGGCCACGACGACTGTGGAGATTAGGGCGACGACGGAGATGGCGATGGCGGCGACGCGATGATGACGACGACCACGACGCGACACTTGCAACGACAATGGCGATGACGCTTCGACGACGAGGACGACGTCAACGACAACGGCGCTGATGCTTCAGAGCCGACGGCATCGACCTCTCGGCGAAGACGACAGTCGCTGGATTTCGGTCCAGAATCTCGGCAGCCAAAGCTGCGCGCCCCTCGGATGGGAAAGTGCAGCCGCGACGATGACAAGGCGACCACGACGACGACCGCGGCGACGTCGGCTCGACGGCGACGATGCCGCCGTCTCGTTTCAACCCCAACTCTCTCAGAGGCCCCGTGCACAACGATGGCCTGCCAGCGGCGGCCGCCGAAAATCAAGATGCCCATGACGTCAGAACCAGCCAGATACCAGCGGAAGCCACGGGCCCGCTGCTGCCAATACACCAGAAAAACGGCCTTTGAGATCCATTAGGCTGAACACCCTGCGGTTGAAGGTAAGCCGATGGCAGAACTGAGCCACATCGCGAAGAGACGCGTTTAAAGATTCATCTGCAAAGCAGTGGTACAATTTGGCCGCTCCTTGGAACCGCATCCTGATGGCAAGGATTTGGGGGCGATGGCTGAGGGGGGGAGGAGGAGGGGGTGGGAAGTAGGGGGGTGAGGGGGAGGGAGGGGGAGGGAAACGTAAGGGAAGAGGAGAAGTCGGAGGAGGGTGGAAGGACGCGGGCGTCAATGTCTCCGCTGTCTGCGTCGACCAGCCGCAGTTTTCAACCGCCAGGGGGGGTGGGGGGTCAAGGCCGGCCACCGCGCTCCTCGAAGGAGCGTATTGTGAACGTGGTTGCTGTATCTCCAGGATTTCCCACTCTGTTTTGCCGTTGTTTTCTCGGGCCACCCAGAGGCCCCTGGCCGCCGTCGCCTGGGCCCCCCCCCGAACGCCATGAGCTCGCCAGCTCATGTTTTGGTTTTCGCCCTCCTCATCGTCTCCCCTTCTCTCCTCCTCCCCCCTTCCCCCTCGTTTCCTATACTCTCACCTCTTCCCCTCCCTCCTCTCCCACCCCTCACCTCCCTTCCCTCTCCTCCACCTCCCCTCCTCGCCCCTCCCCTCCCGCGTGGCTCTCCCCTTTAATTCCCTGGGCCCTCCGTGGCGGGGCTGGGCTCGCATGCTTATCAGGGGGCGGGGGGGGAGGTGCTGCCCTGCGCGTGTCATGCGGAACGGCCGACGCCAACGCTATCCGCTTGACCCCCATTCCTTCGGCGGATCCTCTTTCCCCCCTTACGTTTCCCGCTTCGCCCTTGGTCCTGCATACGAGATGCCCAATCTGATGACTCTTGGGGGTTGGCTTCACCCCCGCAGCTCTGCAGCACATGTTGAAGGGCGTCAGATGTGATATCATACGCCTGTACCCATCATATGGAACGGTAGCCTTGTGACTGCGCATCTCATCGACAAATCGTTTCAAGTGCCATCCCGCGCCTATCATTGCACCCCCATGTACTTCGAGGCCACCGAATTTGACAAGCATATCATGTGCGAACTCCAGAATAACCGCGCACTCGCCAGCTTTCAAGCTCATGTTGCTCCCAGGGTGTAGCGGGTTCTGGAGCGGATGTTCTGATCGGTTATGGGGGGGGGTGTGGGGCGACGAGCGAGCGCGATCTGAAGCAGCTCGCAATTTTCACCAGGGGAATCCAAGGGCACCCCATCGTGCAGCGATTTCTCGCGAGAGCGGCCCCCTCGTGAAGACTGCGAGCTGCAAAAAATCACGCCCGCGCGAGTGGCGCAGAAGGCAGACGTGGGACTCGTACAATCTTAAATGCCTCCGCGCGGGGACGGCGGGCCAACTGACGACTGGGCCGAGCACGAGCACGAGCGTCGCAGACTGGCGAGGCCGCCCGACGCCTCGCTGCTTCGACTTGCACCCTGGCCTGCATGCCCCTCCCTGTCTTGGCTCTCCTCCTACCGTCCTTAGCCGCCTCCTATGCCCCTCCTCTTCGTGTTCATCTCCTCTGCCCGTCGCCCTCCAATCCTCCCGCGTTGCCCCCGTGCTTCCCCGAGGCTATCCTTACCGGCCTCGAGCCGCTCCTGGAAGCATGTTCGACGATCGTCCCACCTCCCATCTTAGTGCCGTCTGTGCTTCTCCTGTCTCGTTCCCCCCTCCCCCTCTTTAACCTGACCTCCATCCTCGTCTCGCTCCCCCTAGATCCCCCCCCCCCCTCGCACAACGCGCGCGCACATGCAACAACAAAACGCGCTCCTGCAATGTGTACCCAAGTCGCTTGCCCAACACACCAACTGTCAACGAACCTTGGTACCTGTTTTTGATAGGGATGCCTTTGTCCACCTGCCATTTGTCGAGCTCGGCCGAAAGGAAGGGCATGCTAGATACAACAACTATTTCCACGTCGCCACATATGTTCCACGGGTTTCGCAGCACAACGCGCCATAACGCAGATGAAATATAACGCATAACAGGTCCATAGTAAACACTGTGGAGCGCATCTATTGCAAGCGTGCCTACTGGTGTTGAATGCAACGTGTTGCAGAACAACGGGCAGCGATGGTTAACAGCGTCCATGCATTTGGATCCATCATATCTTGCTCGCCACAAGCGCACAACTGTCGGGGCGGGAATATTCTCGAGCGCAGCGACGCCCCACAATTCATCTGACGGCTCCAACCTATCACCACGAACAACAAGCACACCGTTTACACGAGTGTCTCTATATACTACACGACCGCCTATTCTAGTTTTGTCTCTGGTCCAGCGCAGCGCATCGCAGAGCTCTTTACGGTCTAGATTATTTCGAAGTTGCACGACGACCTCACACCTAAGACAGTCTCGAGCGTAATCTTCCTTGGTCCTGTATGGATACGGCAACTCACCAAAATCTTCGTCCAGCTCACAATCATGGTCAAACAGCTCAGCTTTCCCGAGGACGCAAAATTGGCATGGCGAGTGTGATTTTGCCCAGCTCCCGAGGCCGAGGGAATGGCACTGCTCGGCCCAGTCACCCTTCAAGTAAATCAGCACACAAGAGAAACCTAAGGGGCCTTGGTTCTTGACTGGACTGTGCGCGGGCCAAGCGTCGCCAGTGTGGGTTCGTGGCGGTGGAATCCCGTGCGCCAGGGACTCCAGTTGCCACTGCAACGTTTTGTGAATGGGCCACAAACTACACCACCCCCTGCACCCACAAGAACACATGTCGGCACTGTTAAGCGCCGTGAAAAAATGCCTGCGTTGCGTGATAAGGTTGGCAGCCCATACGCCCAAGACCGACTCGGAGCGGCCAGCAGCCTGAGTGATAAATCGGACTCCGTCCAGGTAAACTGCTATTGGCACTGGCAACGTTAACCCAAGCTGCTGTGCCTCCAGGACACGCGGATGATTTTTAAATACAGGTACGTCTAGGATGCACTCGTCGGTTCTATCTTCTGCAGCTGTCCCAAGGGTTCGCATGACGGTTGTGTCCGAGGCGACCTCCTGAGCAAACGAGTCCCATAACGCACGTACAGGCACATCATATACTGCGCGATGCGCATGCATTTTTTTGTTCATCGGAACCTTTACATAATGAAGCAGGCCTGGGTCAGGTAGCACTCGATCTAGGTGTTCCTGGAATTTACCAGCATTCTGCGCACTAGGGTCATAAGCGTACGTCGAGAACGAACCACCTTGCACCCCCGCTCGGTCAGCAAACCAACAGACCGAACACAAGTCTTTTGCGGTGAAGCGGCACTTTGCATAGAGATCCAAGAAATATTTCAATAGATCAGCGCCAGCTTCCCGCTCCACGGATGCGCGGGGGGCCCATCTGGGCGGTGGCGACGCAGCAGTTGCCATCGCGTTGCAGCGCAGGGCAGCTCTTAATAGGGCACACCGTCGAGCCAACATGTGCGTCGCATGCATGCACCGTGATGCGCGCGCGCGCCGTGCCACACCGCAGCTGTCCCACGCAGCGCACGCAGCACGCGTGCTTTGGTGGGGACGGGTCTCGAGCGAAGCTCTAGAATAGTCCCGAACCCGCGGCGGTGCTCGGTGAAAGAGAGGCCCCCTCAAGGAAAAGGGTGGGGGTGGGGAGTTGGGGTTATCCAGGATGCCTCGCCGAGCTGGCTGCCTTCTCACGATGCATCGCCGATCTGACATGCCTATCACTCCCTAGCTGGCCTCATCCGCCTCCCCCCTTCTCGCTGTTGTGTGTTATCCCTTGGTGTGGTGTTCCTCCTGTTTCTCATCAAGTTTGCGCTGCTCGCAGTGCCCCTTCAATGCCTGCTCCGACACCTCAGGATCGTGCATTGGGGCGCCGTGTAATAGATGCATCGGCCGATGCGAGTTCTGCAGCTTGCCCGCAGGCACGAATGCATACAATGCTGGGCGTTCCTTCCGACTGCCAAGGGAACATTCGGTTTGCCGCGTGGGCCATTTTTTCGTTCAGCCATTCGACCCTGCATTGCTCCTGCTCATCATTGACACCCATCGCGGGTGGTCTCGATCGGAATGGCAACTATCGGGCATAATGTCTCATCGCCGTCGCAGTCTCAATCGTTGGGGGGCCTGAACAGGCGCGGCGCTGTGGTTTCGAGGGCCAGCAAAGAAGTGCGAACGAAGACGACGTCCTCGATCGACGGCAACAGCGATCGACGACTGAGATCCACGAAGACGATGGTCGACGACGACGCGTGCCGAGCCAGCGGCCCAGGTGCTCAACGAGGAGGCGCCATGATATCGGCCGACGCCACTCCGCCGACCCTGGCGGCCAAAGCGGATGGTCCGTCTTCGGCTTTTGCGCCCTATATGTAGGTATTCGACCCAGTTCCCGTCGCTGCCGTTGCCGTCGCCGCCGCCGTCGTTGTCGCCGTCATTTCGCCAGCGCCGTCGCCGTCACTGCCCTAATCCCCTCCCCATCCTTCCCATCGTCATCGCCATGCCGATATTGGCCATCTAGGGTCAACGACGCGCCGCCGCACTGACCCAGCGACGACAGTGGAGCACGAATGCGCTAGGCGCGAGCCTCGAACACACGAGCGCGGCGCTATCTGTGAGGACTGCCGTGTGTCCACCGTTGTTTTCGCACCAACAGAAAGTGAGACGCTGCACCTGAACTCCGTTGCGCCCCCACCGCCGTCAAAGAGCAGGCCTTGCGGGCACGTCGCCACGAGAGAGGCATATGTGTTCCCTCTCACGCGCACTGATGGAGAGGATATGGTTCCCCTCCTAGACAAAAAGAAACGAGGACTTGCACCTGTCTCACCTTGCGGTCCCATGGCCACCTTGATCATTCTTCAAGATTATACACGTGTTGCTGTGTGCTCTCACTGTCTTGCTGTCCTGTTACGCTCTGTCTGCGTTCGTTGTTGTTGTATGTATCTCTCTCTCTCGTGGATCCCTCTATTCTGCTCTGTCCCTGGCCTTATGATTGCATTAATTCTCCCCTATCTCTTCGCTATCCCTCTCTCTCTCTCTCTGTCTTCCCCTCTCTCTCTCTCTCTCTCGCTCTCTCTCTATCTCTCTCTCGCTCTTGTTATCCCTGCAACCCTTGCTCTTGCAGCCCGACCTCTCCCTCTCTCACTGTATCTCGAGTCTTTACCTGTTCCCGTCATGTGCACTGTCTCGTCACTGTCTCTCTCCTCTACTTCTCTTCTCCCTATCTCGCTGCATCTCTCCCGGCAATCTCGCTGTTGCATGTTCTCTCATGCAACACTCTCGATCGATCAGGTGGCCGAGCCCCAGAGACACGCAACTTCACAGGCATACCCCAGCGCAGACAATCTCAAGATCTAGTTGGCAGCTGTAGGCCAGAGCTTTATCCTGATATATTATTGTGTTTTCTCGGTTCCGAAAGTGAAAACTCGCAATCTGGATTTCACATGCCAAATCATCCGGGCGTGAACTTGCGTGTGAAAATAAACGCGCCTGTCGATTTTACGAGGATGTCTCGGGCGAAAGCCATGTGAAATTCATTTTCACACGGGTGTGATTGGGCATGTGAAATCGTAGTTTTCACATGGGTGGTTTTCGGACCCCAGGGGCCGGCTAACCAATACATGCACCATAACTCGTTTAGATCTCAGAGATCTGCGAGCTCCCCTACTGCTTGGGCTCGGGCTTGGCCTTGCCCTTGCCCTTCGGCTTGGGCTTGGCCTCGCCCGACAAGCCCAAGCGCCCCCTCGTCTTCAGAGCGCGCATGTCCTCGAGCGCATCCAAGAGGCTCTCCACTGACTTCAGGGACGAGGACAAGCCAGACAGCGTGACGAGCAAGTCCTGGAAGTCAGTGGCCTCCAACTCCTTCTTCACTTTCGCGATGTCCTGCAGGCGCGTCGCGAGGGCCAGGGTCTTGCTGAGCTTCTTCTCGTTGAGCACGTTGACCTGCTGCTGGAGTTCCTTGAAGTCGCCGTCCTCAGCAGCCCATCCCCAGTGGTCGAGGTTGTCCTTCACCATCTGCTCTGTGGTATCAGCCCTCCCCGTAAGCTTCATCAGCTTGTCAAAATTCTCCTTCGCTGACTTCATCAGGACCTGATCTGCAGACCTGGGCTGCCTCGGCTGCCTCGGCGCCTTCTCTGGAGGCGCCTTCTCCTCTGGGCTGGCCCCAGCCGCCGCGCCTGCGCCAGCTGGAGGGGCCTGCCCCTGCAGCGCATGCGCTGCTGCTGGAAGAGCCTGCTGCACCTGCGAGATCGCCGCAGCTGGCGCCGTAGCGTCCTTAGAAATGCATTCGTCATCATCAGCAGCATCACCATCACCATCAGCATCATCAACATCATCATCATCATCATCATCATCATCATCACCAACATCATCAACTTCAACACTACCATCATGGATCCCTCCTCCTTCGCCAGCCTCCTACGTCTCCCTTTTGCCTCCCCCTACTTCTCCTCCTCTCACCTCCTCGACCTGGCGCCCTCCCCCGCCTACTCTAACGGAAAACTATTATGGTCCGCCCTCCTCCTTCCCTTTCCTCCTCCTCCCCCCCTCCTCCTCCTCATCCTCCTCCGCGAGCCCTGCCCCGACGGCTGTCCCTCAAGCGCTGCTCGTCGTTCGACCACTCGGAGAAGGTGGACCAGGCCTCGACGAAGTGCTTGTTGTAGCCCTCAGCCCGAGAGGACTCTCTCGCGCCGTCGTTCACTGCCCACTGCCCCAATCGCCATCGTCGGGATAAGTGTGATACTACTCGGGATGTCACCGCCCTCGGGGGAAATGTGATACTACTCAGTTGTCGTCGTCGGTCGTGGGATCGATCGGCCGTGGGATCGATATTCGTTTCGATTCGGCTGCTGAGAACACGGCGCGGGTCAGGTATAGGCATCGCAGCGCCTCCGTCACGCTGTCAAAATATATCCAAGGAGGTCCAAGAAGCATACATTTTGCAAAATACTTCGATGCCTGGCGGGGCTGTCTGTCCATCCCCTCTCTCCTCTCTCCACATCGTTCTTCTCGCTGGCTGTCCACGATTATCTTCGCGGCCACCTCTTTCCAACGCCCCTCGCCAGCTCGGCCCATTCTCCGCTCGCACCCTGGAAAACCGTGGGCACCGATCGGGTTTCTCACGTGGTTTCGAGCTCGGAGGCCCTGGCGATTTCGACTGCGGTTCTTGTTGCTTCCGAGGGTGGTGCAAGAATTGATCGGGCCCGCTGCGCCTGTATGAAGCCGAGCTTTCCCCCTCCCTCTTTCCACGCCGCTCTCCCGAGTGGCATGTATGTTCCATTAGTATACTCGGTGGTCGAGTACTGCGCGGACCGCTTCTTTATCTCCTCTGGGAACGGCCAGTGCTGACAACCAGTTTACACGTCCCTGCTACTTGCTTCCTCCTCTTCCTCCTACTCCTCTTCCTCTCCTCATTCTCCGTATACCTCTCCTCCTCCTCATACCACCCCCCCGCCCCTCACCCTCTCCTCGCGCCCCCCTCCCGTCTCGAGAGGGGGTGGGGCGGGGGGGCTTAAGAGTGCTACCTCGACCGCCTCCGCCGCCGCCTTCCTCCTCCTCTATTTCCCTCCCTAACGTCCTTGACCTTATCGTACTCGCCCTCCGCCCAGACCCTGCGGAACTGGTTCTTCCTCGACTGAACTTTCTCGCCAGTGATCGAATCGTAGCGGGCTTTGAGGTCTGGATCGGAACGAGTAGCCCTATCCCGCCGACCCGCCACAGCGCTCTGACGCGGGTCGGTGGGCACATGAAATTGACCATGTGCTACATCTTGCCAGAACTGTAATTCTTCATCAATAGTTTTGCCGTTGATTTTTTTGCTGGGGCCAGCCGATGGTTCTCCTTTGTCTTTCATCCCGAGGCCCCATCTGGAAGGCTTGGTGAGATGACCATCGGCCTCTATATCTTCCTCGAGCTGGGCAGTCAATTGATCAGCTGTAGTGTTATGCCTGGCCTGCACAAGTTGAGAGAGCTGCGGCGACCTGAACACCTTCAGGAGGAAATCAGTGATCGCAATCTCGTTCGTCTCCTTGTTGTTCTCAGCGTTGGGCAGCAGGGCCTGGGCGCCGCCGCCGCTCTCTACTGATGCTGCGCTGTCCAGATCGCTGCGTTCTTAATCTTCCTGCTGTTCTCTTCCGCCCTCCTCCTCTTCCATCCCTCGTCTTCATCCTCATCCGCCCCGCTGCCTCCACTCGCACCCTCCTCGTCCCCCCACTCGCCCTCGCCCTCGCCTTCATCCTTTGCCGCCCTCTCCTCCCCATCCTCATGCCTCGATCCTCGCCCCATCGTCGCCCTGCTCATTCGGGCCACGCGCTCTCCACCCCCGAGCGGGGTTCGGATCAAATCATGGACGGCATCCAGGGCGAGGGGATTGGTTCCGACGGGCGCGTTCCCAGGACCTCGGGATTCGGGGCAGCGCTCCTCGATCGGGCTGGTGATGGCGATGGAGGAGGGGAGAAGCAGTGATGAGTCAGCCAACCGACGATAATGCGATGATGGGATGATGACGGGCGACGATGCTTCTCGAGGCTACAGGCGCAGCCATCCGAGCAGTCTGGCTGCTAGAACGGCTCGTCGCCCATGGAGTTGGAGTGGAACGGGTTGGTCGACTTGCCGCCCTGCTTGCTCGGGGCTGGCGCGTCCTCGGGCATCTTGAACTTCTCCTCGATGGTCATCTCGGGCTCGGGCTTCTCCTCAACGATGATCGCCATGCCCTCGCCCTCCTCCATGTGCTTCGTGGGCTTAGCCGTCTTGGCCTTGGCCCTGCTCTTCGCCTTCCCCGTGGCGACCGCCTTGGGCTTGGGCGAGGATGGAGGTGCTGAGCTGCCGCCCTCTGGAGCCTCGTCTGCACCCTTCGAAGCCGTCACCTTACGCTTCTTCGCGGGCTCGACGTCGCGCGGAGCTGGCTCTGCAGCACCCTCGACAGGAACGTCTTCAAGCGGCGACTGGGCCTCCTCATCCTCCTCGGCGTAGAAGCTCTCGGCGTCCTCGTGGCCCTCGTCCTCCTCGTCGTCCTCGGCCTCCTCGCCCGCGGCCTCCTCGGCCGCGGCCTCCTCGGCCTCCTCGCCCGCGGCCTCCTCGGCCTCCTCGTCGCCGTTCTCCTTCTCGTCGGCGTCGGCGCCCCCGTGGCCAGCCAGGCCCTCCGCCGCGGCGGGCCTCTTGCGAGCCGCGCCCGCTGCAGCGGAAGGCCGCTTCACTGCTGACTTTCTGCGGCAAGCCTCGTTGCCGTGAACCATCAAGAATTCCGCCTTCTTCACGTCCAGCGCCGGCTTGTCGAGCTCGCCCCACTGGTAGCCCATGGCCAGCTCGATGACCAAGTCTTTGGCAGCCTGCTCCTTCGTCGCCTCGTAGTTGCGAATCTCGAGCAGCTGCTTGCGGCCGTGCAATATCTGCAACCACGTGCCCTTCACCCTGTGGTGGACGACCACAGCCCTGACCTGCAAGTCATCCCTGGAGCCCGTATACAGCGTGCAGTTGCCCTTCTTCTGCGCGCCGCGCTCCTCGTCCTCCCCCTCGGCCATCGTCCCAGGGACCTCCCGGGTCAGATCGGGATCCGTCCACTTCGCAACCAAGTTCGAGCTGCCAGCTTCCGCTCGCGCACGGGCGAACTCTGGGACTGGGCGCCTCGAGTCGGTCTTGAACCTGAAAGCTGCCTGGGGTGGCGGAAATGGAAATCGCGTGGCTTACGCGTGCTAATGTTTCACGTTTAACCCTAGGGCCTTCATGTCCCGGGCGTGCCCAAGGCTGAACTCCCCAACGACTTCGAGCACGGTGAGCCCCTCAGCCCGGCCCCGCGGTGCCGCACACGGCGGCGCCGCAGCCTTTACAGGTGACAGCGCCCGACGGAAGATGGAGTTGGAAAGGGATGGGGCGAAGAGGGTGGAGAAGGAGAGGAAGGGCGGAGGAGGGGGAGTTGAGGGCGGGATGAGGGAGGGAGGGAGGAGGGCTGAGGGAGGAGGGAGAGAGGGTTGAGGGTGGAGGTGAACGCTTTGGTACGGCCGACCTTCGCAGGCCCGCTGGTCCCTGGGCAGCCAGGCGATTTTTCTTCGGCGGGCGGGCCGCCGTCCGAACTTGAGCTCTCTACACCTTCGTCCTCGTGCGGCTCCCCTTCTTGTACGAAAGCGTCCAGGGCCCATGATATCTTCCTCGAGGAGACTAAAATCCCAGGGGGGCATCGGGGAAGTTGATAGGACACCCAATTGAAAACGAATGTGTTTTCAATTTGCTGTCACATCAACTTTCCAGATGCTCTCCGATAATTTGAAATAAGCCCGATGTCTTGGATATGGCTTGCCGTGCGTGACGGAGAAGGTTCCTTATCTTTTGTGCATTATCCATCGCCCAGTCGTGGGCGCTGTCACCGAGATGCCACTGCGATTCCCTTTCCCTGCATACCTTTATCAGCAGCTCCTGTACTGGCGCGCCAAGGGCCAGATCCATATACGGGGGGGGGCGAGTGCAATTTCACACGCGATTTCACACGCGCGTGAACTCGCGTGTGAGATTACACTCGGCACATCAATTGTTGTGGTTGCGTTTTCCGCGCGTGTCCTGCGCCAGCAACTTATTCACTCGAGTGCACACCTTCCGAGTTTCTAGAATCAGGCTCTTGTGATTTAGCAACTTGTCCTTGTCGATCCTGGAGACTTTCATGTCTTTCCTGGTGTAGTCGAGCTGTTCGGCCTGGAAAAGGACGCACATAATTTTATTTAAATTGCGAGGGAGGGGGTGGAGGGATCGGCCTGGGTGATCTCGGCTAACCACACAGCTTTCAACATCTTCTCGTTTGGCTGGCCTTTGGGCGCACCAGCCCACCCCCTGCCTCGCCCTTTCCCGCGGCCGCCCATTGCTGCCCCCGTCTGCGCTGCATCGGGAGAGCAAGACAGCTGCAATGATTAGGAGCGTAACGCATTGCAAGGAGGTGGAAAGAGGCTCGAGGAGGAGTAGGATGAGGAGGAGGGGGAGGAGGAGGAGGAGGAGGAGGAGGAGGGGGAAGAGGAGGAGGGCGGAGAGGAGGCAGCCTCGAGGGGAGAAGAGGGGCAGGGGGCAGGAGGAGGAGGTTGAGAAGTAAGAGGAGGAGGATCAGCAGCAGCAGCACCAGCATCAGCAAGTGCGACCCTCCCTGGCGCAGGGTGGCGCATGCCTGCATCTGCTTCATGAGCTGCACGGCCGCCCTCGAGTCGGGGTGCAGGTCCTTCTCGGGCGTGTCGAAGATGCCCTGGCTCGCGGGGTGGGGAGAGGGGGCTAGGGCGTCGCTTCTCCTCCTCCTCTTCCTCCTCCTTCTCCTCCCCCTCCTCCCTCACCCTTCTTCCGCCCACTTTGCCCTCCCCCTCCACGTCGGCGCCACATGCCTCGACGCCCTAACCCTCGCCGAGAGGAGCGAAAGAACCAGAGAGAGGAAGGGGGCCCGGACAGAGAGAGACAGAGGGAGAGAGAGAGAGAGAGAGAGAGAGAGAGAGAGAGAGAGAGAGAGAGAGAGAGAGAGAGAGAGAGAGAGAGAGAGAGAGAGAGGGTGACAGAGAGTGAGATAGAGCGCGAGTGAGAGGGGGCAGAACACACGAGCGAGCAACAGCAGCATGCAAAACGGGAGGTAATGGGAAGGAGAGCTCACGGGGCTCAACGCATAGGGAGTAAACGCATGAGGGGTTGAGAGCGAGGGGTGCACAACATGGAAAGCGAGGTCTGCGGCGGCGGCGGCGAGCCTCTCTCTCTCGCTCTCTCTGCATCTCTCTCTCTCTCTCTCTCTCTCTCTCTCTCTCTCTCTCTCTCTCTCTCTCTCTCTCTCTCTCTCTCTCTCTCTCTCCCCTCTCGATGGAGGCGCGAGGGGCACGGCGAGGAGGAGGGGGGGGGGAAGACGATGAAGAGGATAAGGATGAGGAGGAGGAACGGCGAGAGGGCGATGAGGAGGAGGAGGGCGGGAAAGGAAGGGAAAGGGAGGGAAGGTGGGGATGGCCCTGTTACCTTTGCCTCCCCTGCTTCCCCCCTCGCCTTCGCATGCGAGCCATCCTCGACATCCCCCCCACCCCTCACTCACCCCTCCTCGAAATCTGCCACCCCCCCGCTTGCACCTCTTACCTGCGCAGCGGCGCGCGCGGCGATCCTCTGTGTTCTGCGTTGTTGTCGGAGCCGCCGCCGCCTGCCCCGAGGACTTGTCTTCGCGGCGCGGGGCCGACCTCCGTTCTTCCTCTCCTCCTCCTCCTCCTCCTCCTCCTCCTCCTCCTTCCTCCTCTTCCTCCTCCTGCTCCTCCTCCTCCTAGCTCCTCCCCCATCCTCCCTCTCCTCCTTCCTCCGTGCCCTCGAGGATCCTCCTTCCTCTCCTGGTTACTCTCCTGGTTCCTCCTCCCCCTGTCCTCGTCCTCGTTCGCATCTGATTCCCCCGTTTCTCTCGCCGCCCCCCGCTCGCTGCGACCCTGCCTGCGCGCCCCGCCGCAGACTCGCGAGCGGCCGCGTCCTGGAGGGTCGCCGTCTCTGCGGGCTCGCCAGCGGCAGCATGTGCAGGAGGAGCGTCCTCGCAGCGCGCTGCGAGAAAAGAAGGGTCGAGACAATGTCGCCACCACCATCGTCTCGAATCGGGAATCGCGTCGATTCGAAATCGTCGCCCGCCGTTTCGTCATCGTTGTTTTACGGGTCGCTCGCGACCGCCTGTTCGATCGTATAGTCGCTGTCGTCGTCGTCGTCGAAGCTGTCGCCATCGCCGATCGCTGTGGGGATCCCATCGTCGTCGATCTGCTGCCGCTGTCGATGCTGATGTCCTGGAGTGAATATCCCGCTGGTTCAGTCTTCACCTTTCTGCAGTACCATTCCCTCCAGGACAGCGGGAACTTGATAACGTTTCTCCTTCGAAGTTTTGAATGGTACCGAGTCCACTGGAACATGAACGGTGCGCTGACGATTCCCGGCTTCGGCTCGACGTTCGGGTCGAAGTCGTCATCGCTCGTCTCGTCCTCGCCCTCGCCCTGAGGATGAGGAAGGGGGGAATGCGCATGCGGATTGGAGCTGAGAGATGCGAGTGAGGCATGATGGGAGAACGAATGCTTGAAAGGGCGATGGGGAGGGAGACTGAACAAGTGCAAGAGACAGAGAAAGAACGAGAAAGGATAGCGCGTCCTCGCGCGCCACCAGGGCCGCGGGCTCCAAGAGGCCGATCGTGTCATCGCGGATGATGCCCTGTCAGAGGCGCAGAAAGTTTCCTCCTCTCCTCCTCCTCCTCCTCCTACTCCTCCTTCTTCTCCTCCTCCTCCTCCTCCTCCTCCTCCTCCCTCTCCTCCTCCTCCTCCTCCTCCTCCTCCTCCTCCTCCTCCTCCTCCTCCTGGTCCCCCCCCCTCCCTCCACCCTGCTCCCCCTCCTCCTCCTCCTTCTCCTCTGTGTGTTGGTGCATCCGTTTAACCCTGGTCTCCGATGGGGCGGCGGTCGGGTCGCCCTCCTCGAACACCGTGTCGACCTTGGACCGCTCGATCGCCATCTCCATGTCGAGGTCGTGCTTCGTCTTGACCACCTTTGAGCGCGCCACCGCCTCCTGCAGGGACCTGTCGTCGTCGTCGTCGATCTTGCCGCGCTTGAGGTCCTGCATCGATCGCCCGGCTGCGATCTGCATGTGCTCGTCTTCGTCGAGCTTCGGGGCCATCCTCCTCGTCATCATCTGGTGCAGCGTGTCGTCGTCGTCGTCGGACTTCACCGTCTCGGGGCTGCACGCCTCCGAAGCTCTGCGCTCCATCCTCATCAGGCTGTCCGTGGACGGCGGCGGCAAGGCGTCTGGATACTTGTCGGGGTCGGGGCTGGGATGCGTCGGGCTCTGCTGCGTCTGCTGGGGCGCCGGGCTCTGCTGCGTCTGCTGGGGCGCTGGGCTCGGCTGCTGCGGGCTCCGTTGCGTCTGCTGGGGCGCTGGGCTCGGCTGCGTCCGCTGGGACGCTGCTGGGCTCGGCTGCGTCCGCTGGGGCGCTGGGCTGAGCTCTAGCTGGGTCTGCGGCGGACTGGGGGTCGAAAATCTCGAGTCGGTGGGCGGCGGGCTGTTGTACGACTCTGGCGGGTGCCTCCTCGCGTGAGGAGTGCGCGAGCGTGGCGCCCTCGGCGCTGCAGCTCTCCGCGCGGGCGGCGCCATCCTGGACGCCAGCAGCGCGAGCCCAGTGGGCGCGCGCCAGGCCCCGCGAGGAATGGGGGGCCCTCGAGCTTTCATGAAACTCGAGACTGACAGCTCGGGAAAAACACAACGAACGCAAATGAAGCACGGTCGATGGCGGCAAATAGTGGTGATCTTAGGGATATCCCAGGGGCCAAACAGACGGAGGGGCTAAGAAACACAAAGGACCAAAGGGGAGAGGAACGAGAAGCAGGGGGGCAGGGAAAGAGAAAGGAAAAAAAGGAGAGAGGTGTGAGAGAAGGAGAAGAAGAAGGCAGCGGGAGGAAGGTGGGAGGTATTTTATATTCAGATATCGTTGCCGCTCGGGCTCACGCGCGCGGTGTTCGTGCGCATGTACGAATGTAGGGACACAAAGTTGCATGGTATACATAACAGCGCAAATCATGTCATAGCATATGTATAGCATGTCATAGCATATATAGCTCTCGATAATCGTGCTAGATGATCTTAGAACACTACTCTCGAGATTTTCAAGAGATTGGATCTCAGGGCGCTTGTGCACGGTACCCACGGACGATCAGGACCCGCTTGCCTGTCTGTAGTAGATGTTCCTCCACGGACTTATGTCGCAGACGGTAGCTGCCTCCCTCAGGTTGGCTGTGCCTTTAACGAGGGGAGTGGCAGCTCGGCGGCTTTCTCGTGGACCAAGAAGACCCTAACAGAATCCCCCGGTTGGGCGCCGTGTTGGGAGTTGCAGAAGGCTGGACTGGGTGGCGGGCCTCCAGGGAATCCCGCGGATGGGTGGTCTCTGTGCGAGTGCGTCGGTCAGGCCAGAGCGCAGCGCGCCTTGACAGTAGGTGACAGGCGGCCATTGAGGGATGCTGTTGTGCGCACGATAGCACATGCTGGGTAACACGTTGTGCTGTGGCGAGGTCCCAAAGAAGTCGTGAAAGCGCTCTAGTGCAGAAGTGCAAAAGGCCCAGAGCGTCAGCACGGGCGGACAGCACAGTGGGACGAACTTGGTTCTCGTCGCCACGTAGCACCAAGCGCCCTCCGCTGTGCGCCGTAAGCGCAAGGGGGATGGCGGCCAGTGGCTTGGTGGCCTGCCCAGCCTCGTCAAGAATGGTAATCTACAGCTTGGGGTTGTCGTGGGCATCCAATTCCGCGGCCGCCTCGTGCGTCGCGAAGACGAGGCGAGCCCATTCCAAGGCCTGCTTCCTCTAACGTGTTAGCGTCTTGATGCCAATGTCGCCGATGGCCACGCCATGCGTCTTGATGTACCCGTGGGTGGGGGTGAGCTCGCGGGCCTCGGGGTTGGTGGCCGAGTCGGCCCGCTGCGTCTGGGAAGCCGCCTGCCTCGTTCAGTTTGCCAGCCCGGTGGGCATCAGTGAGTTACCAGGTGCTTGGCCGGCATGTCGGCTCCCTTGTTGGAGCCCGAGAACAGCCCGACCGTCCAGCCCCCTGGGGTGCAGCCCATCCAAACATCGATTAGCGCCGCTACTAGGGACATGCGGAGTACGCGGGACTGGCGCTTGTTCAGGCCATGCCTCCTGACAGTGTCCTCAGCCGTCTGCCGGTGGGGGGAGGGCAGCGGCCTCTGGAATATACTCCCAGGCCATTCGACCACCTCGGAGTCAGCATTGGCTGAGCCCCTGGGTGTGGCGTGTATCCGTCTGGGTCGGGGACCCGCATGTTGAGTGTGGCGGCTGCGCGTGCGCGTAGATGGCCTCCCATGTCTGCCATGTGGCGGAGATGATACAACGCGCAAACACAGCACATAACGTGCAGAACACATATTTGACATATAGCGCACACAACACATGCACACAGCACGAACCATACATCACCCACACGCACACACATTCTCTCTCTCTCTCTCTCTCTCTCACGCACACACATGTTTCACGCAACACGCACACACACACACTTCCTGTGCATGTGTTTGAATGAGCCTGGGCACGCACATGCCACTTGAAAATATATGTGCACCATACATGATTAATTGTTTTGTGGGGTGCATCCCCTTTGCAAAGCCGGAATGAAATCGTCCTGTCGTCGTCCTCCTCCTCGGGCGAAAGCAGTACTGCGCGGACAGTGCGAATGTTGTCAATATGGTTCACATGCCTACGGCCGAACACCTACCAGGCAAAAAGGTCTACGCCGGAGCTTTGCTTCAATGCTGCTCCGCCTACTTCTCTTCTTTGCTGATTTGCGAGGAGGTAGCCATTCACAAGGATGTCGACGAGCTCGGCATCGTTAATCGGGAGCGGTGGAGGCGGTGGGGAACGGATACGTAGATGTTGGCGCCAAACTGGCAGTCAACATGCACCTTCGTGAAGAGAAAACTTTAAGCGAGATCGATCGCACGATCAGGGCTGCTCGGTGCAGGTTTCGCCTAGCTGCTAGAGTACTACACTTGTGGGGGCATCTGGATCTCTTGAACCCACTCTCGTCAAGGCTCGCACGGTCTCCCCTGGCCCCACTCATTCCTGGGCATCCTGGGTGGGAGCTTGCAGATGCAGTCCTCTGACAAGCCTGCGCCTGGACGTTGTCCTGGCAGAAGCAAGTTGCAAGCTTCCCGCTTGATTGCGCTGAACCACCGCGTCGTCGCCGACTGTGACGACGCCAATGTTTTGCTCATCTGCGTCAGGCGCTACTGCCACTCCAGTTTCTGCAGCGTTCGAAGCTTGTCACGGGCCTGTGTTGGCCTAGCGAAGGCCATGGAACACTTTTGGCAATACGGGACTCTGCCCACATTGCAATCGACGGGGTGTGAGAGTTCACACAGGCAATCTGATTCAGTGTCTCAAAACGTTTATGTAAACCACTCGAGCGTTGGTGTCCACCACCGCCGACAGCACCGCTCAGCACTGTGGTGCAGATGAGCTATAGAGCTCCTGATCAAAACAGCACTGCTCTGCGGCTAGTTGTGGAGCGCCGGTTCCCACGACCATGAATTTCCAGTCGGAAGGCGAGGCCAGTGCCCAAAACGAATGGAGGACTCCCTCGATGATGCCTCGCCTCGCCTTGTTCTCCTTCTCCGTCTCCTCCTTCTCCTCCTCCTCCCTCCTCCTCCCTCCTCCTCCTCCTTTTCCTCCCTCCTCCTTCTCCTCCTCCCTCCTCCTCCCTCCTGCTCCTCCTCCTCCTCCTCCTCTTCCTTCCTGTGTGCTACCTCTCCTCCCCTGCTCTTCATGGGCGTCCCCAGCGGTCGCCTGCCCCCTCGCTCCTCGACTGGCGGCCTGGGTTACCGTCGGCGGAGCCGTTCTTCGGGCAGCTGCCTGCCTTCTGCCGCTCGCCCGCACCCCGTCCAAGGCTGCACACGATCGCAGATAGTCGAGCCAATCGAGGCGGGCCCCATCTACGAAGGAGGGGAGTTGCCCACGGGGGGCGCGCAGTCGACTCGGTCGATACCTTACGCAGACGGCGGCACCAATCATCGAACCAATCGGACGATGGGCAGCCCAGCCGTCCCTCGCCCCTCAGCATGCCGCAGTGCTCTTCCCTCCTTCGCCCCATCATCCTCGAGGCAAAGAAGTGGACAAGCAAGCCGGCCGCAGGGAAGCTGATGGCACGACACGCGCCGGCCGAATGCAGGGCCGAGGCCAAGTGTGCAGAGCACGCAGGTCGAGCAAGCAGTTGTTCAGCGGCGGCGTGGGACACAAAGCGTCGAGCAGCCACAGCCGGGGCGCGCCCCTCGACCGCCGCCCCAGCTGTCCTCGGCCTTCCTGGAGCCACGGGCGTGCAGCGAAGGGGCCCACGGCCCGGGCCCCAGACAGGATCCGGCCCCGATCGGGAGGAGGAGGGAGGAGGAGGAGGAGGAGGAGGAGGAGGAGGAAGAGGATGAGGAGGAGGAGGAGGAGGAGAGGAGGAGGACGGAGGACGGAGGAGGAGGATTCTAGGCATTCTGCCAAGGCATAGCCTAAATGATACACAAGCCGCCCCCTGAGCACGAAGTAGACGAACCAGAAGACGAAGGGCAGGAGCCAGCAGGGAGCTGATGAATATTGCCAGTCGCAGAAGCCGACCCGTACACGACCTTGATAGCAATACCACAGAAACTACCAAGCCAACCCAATATGAAAAAAAGTGTTGGAACCAACTTGCCGAAACGATTCCACAATGGCACAGCCAGTGGCTAAGCAGAAGTGAGCTTGAGTCTATGAGGCCCTAGCTGTGCCGACACGGCGACACCGTTGATCACTGGGCTAACTCAAAACGATCCATGAGCTCGCCTCGCCCACAAACCACCTCGCCCCAGCCGACCAAGGAAACTACCGCCGACAGCTGAAGTCCCATACCTGCATGCTCATCGAGACACTCTGCACGACGAGCGGGGAAAATTGACCATTTGACAGAAGCAAACTGAACTTGCAACTGAACCCACGCCAACAGATGAGTCCAGGCCATAACCCGCCCGAACAAGTCGAGATGAGGAGGGTCGCCAGTGAGGGCACTGGCGGAACGGCTTGAACCAATAGGATGCTGAGTCCTCAACAAGTTCGGAAACGGATGCGCTCGCCTATTCTAGCATGATAAATGAAAATGCTCCGATGGGACCGCGTGCTGTAAAAACTGCTCGCCCTTCTCGCACGCGCCGATACCAGCACAATAGGAGATGAGGTCAGGGCCCAAGGACAACAACCATAAGGCTCTAGGATAGCAGATGAAGCCGCACGTGCCGAACAAGCATGGCAATTCTCTGCACGGGATGGTGGACGCGCCAACCCTGCAGCCCGCCTGGGCCTGCGGCTCGATGCCTGGCACGCCAGCCCATGCCAGCATGGTAAGTGACGACGCTCCGATGGGACCGCGTGTTGTATAGAACATGTCGCCCTTCTCGCACGCGCGTAACCCAGCACGGTGGAAGATTGGGTCGAAACCCAAAGACAACAACCAAAAGGCCCCAGGATAGCAGAATATGTCGCACGTGCCGAAGATGTGAGACAGTTCCTCGTCGCACGAGATAGCGCCCACGCCGAAATTGCAGCAAACCTGGGCCTGCGACGCAACGTACGTGGTGGGCGAGTCGTTGCGGAGTGTGCAGCAGACGTAGCAGAGCGACTTGCCGCAAAACTCCACCTCGATGCAGCACAGTGCCTCGCACGCCATGCACCCACTGTACCAGTCGTCGCTGAGGCAGCCTCCGCAACTGCAGTAGCGCGAGTCCGTGATGACGATCGCGTGGTTGCGGAGCATGTCGCCTTCGCCGTCCAGCGCGACGAGGACAATCCAGCATCGCAGCCACCGGCCTATACCAGTTCACCCTGTCCTCCTCGATTTAGCCAACCCGCCTAGCCTGGACTCGCTGGCCCGGGCGTCGCGGGTGCCACTCGAGCGCCACGGTGAGGCATCGAGGAGCGACTGAGAACTTGCGACGGAGCCAAAACCACAACAGAAGCCAACGAGCCACATGTGCTTGAGGGACGGAGGAGGAGGAGGAGAAGGAGGAGAAGGAGGAGGAGGAGGAGGAGGGAGGAGGAGGACGGAGGAGGAGGAGGACGACGGAGGAGGAGGACGGAGGAGGAGGAGGACGGAGGAGGAGGAGGACCGAGGAGGAGGAGGAGGAGGAGGAGGAAGAGGAGGGAGGAGGAGGGAGGAGGAGGAGGAGTAGGAGAAAAGAAAGGAGGGCGCCGCGCTCAGAGCACGCGGCATGTCACGTGTGGTGCTGCGGGCGGATCGCGGGCTGTGCGCCACACCGCCTGCCCCGCTGACTGCCAAGCACGTGCACGCGCGCGCGTGGGCGAGACGGGGGCAGTGTGCTCGGCCGCCCCAAAGCTAGCTACCTCGCGAAGACGCGATCAGAACACCGCAGAATGCAGCGGTGGTGGGGGCACCGCGCGCGTCCTCATCCAAGGACGCCAGCGTTGTCTTCGCGTTCGCCTCGTTGGTCCTGGCGGCGCGCGACGGCTGCGACAGCCCCCCCCTCCCCCCAAGCGCAAAAGACTAAGAGCCCTCGCCTGCGTCGTATCGAAGCGAGACGTATCCAATCGCTGTGCAAAGCTGAACTGCTCGTGTCGGCCGTCCTCCGAAACCCGTGCATGGAATATGCCACGGTGGCCAGAGACGTGAAGCCTTCCTATCGTAGTGCCCGCCACTCGGTGCCCGATCGAGAGAGCCTCGATTTCGCTGCCAGCCCAGCGTTTCCACAGCCGAAGACGAAACACGGGAAACTCCTGGAACTCGTCCAATTCGTCCTCCTCCTCCTCCTCATGCCCCTCGCTCTTCCTCCCCAAACCTTCGCGTTTCCAACGGCACATCACCTTTCTGTAACTGGAGAGTGGCCTGCTCATCCAGGTCTTCCACCTCCTCATGTTCTTGTGCTATGCTTATCCTCCCCCTTTCTGTTTTGCACGCCTCTCTGGCATATCCACCCACACTGCAGTCTGCTCCCTTCTCTTCCTCCTCCATTTCTTCTCCTTATAAATGACTTGTCTCTGTCGCACCCCGAGGCCTGTTTTTTGGGCGGGATGGGCGTTTCGCCCGAGACTTCCTCAGCATCTATGACCCTGAAGCTTAATCATTGGCAACAGTTTCACAAATGGAGGGCGGGTCGTTTTCAAAATGTGGCTCTCGCCTTATCGCCGCGCACATTCGATTTAACACATTGCAAGAATTTCACGGATTGAGGGCGGGTGGTTTTCAAAATGTGGCTCTCGCCGTAGTGCCGCGCACATTCGTTTTAAACATTTGCAAAAGCTTCACGGATTGAGGGCGGCTCCGTTTCAAAATGTGGCTCTCGCCTCAGCGCCGCGCACATTCGCTTTAACATGTGTAAGAGTTTCGCGAATTCCAATGGTCAACGTACCAGGAATGGCGTTTTGGAAGGATTCAAGATTATGAGGGTGCAGAAGTTAGGTTGATTCGCGGTGTCGAAGTCTCAGGAACGACCTTCTGGCACGATTCGGGACCGTCCAGGCGCAACAGCTGGGTAGATCCGTGGCGTTGGAGTCCCGAGTCGGAGCACAGTGCTTTGGCACGCGGGCGTGCCAACTCAGCTTC